CTAAATGTGCAAACATAAAAAATACTGAAATATAATTTCTGAGTTCTTAAAGTACAGATAGAAGACTTCAAACATAACCATGGGTAGCAATCTGAAAACAATCAGTCCAAGTACCGGTATGCTCAAAAGCCTGACACAACAGTGGATGCTGTGTTAATACTGTAATATAATGATATCCGTTATACAACATATCAAGACATTTAAAAGAGTACCTTTAACAATAATAATATATAGGAAACACGCTGTTTTATTTTTTAAAAGAATCGTTCATTCAAAACAAACCTTTTTTTTCTTACCCACACTCTAAATCTCTCTAAACCTCTTTGACTGGTTAACACAGTGGATGTTTGTTTTATGCTTTAGAAGCCATGTTCCCCTCACATGTTTCACTATTATCTCTGTATAAGCTAAATGCTAAATTATATTTGCCATTTTGTTGCAGTGACATTGGCATCAATCATCCAAGGGTTCTAAATGCAAGAGATGGGGACTGTGAAAATGCAGCATAAAAAATTCATTACTGTTAGTAACAGTCCCTAAGAAAAGATATGACACTCTGCAAGGAAATATAATGATGAAGAATATCAAACATAATATGACCCAAGTAGCTGCTCGATTCAATTTTTTTCTCACACGCAGTGATTGCTTTCTTCCCTAAATTTCCTCTCCTCAGTTCAGCTGCTGAACAAGAGCTCACCCTCATTTCTCAAAACAGGTCCTAAAGGATGTCTCCAGTTTCTTGTTTCCTTGTTCATTTGTAAGCATTATTTTCTCTGTTTTGTTGTGAGATTGATTGAATTTTATGTATACATTAACCAATTTGATTTAAAGGTAGATAGATAAAACTTAGAAGACCAATCAAATACTGTAATTGTACTATGCAGAATGTGATAATACAGCCTAAAATTGCCTTGGACATAGTTTGTAGGTGAGGTAGGCCAGTTAAATCTGAAATGAAATAAAAAGTCTTAAGTTTGCAAAAGACTAATGGCTTTAGTCCTGGAGTAAGTATATGTGTTCCACTGGCTTGAATCGTCTGCATGGACAAAGCTTTTAGAAAATAGATGGATGGACAATAACTATTTTTTTCAGTGACACACACATTTACACAAAGTCTAAATAAGAAGTGCTGTCAAAATAATGTAATCTAATTCACACTATTGAACTTTAAACTCTTACATAAAGATGTTGCTTTCCACTTTGGCATAAATAAATTATCGTTCAATCACCACACGATTTTGGTTGAACCACAGAAAAAATCAGTGTAAAACACATGATATCATGTGATTGACCTAGATCACTAAATCGCAAATGTTTTCAGCACTGATGAGACATGCTGTAGATGGAGAAAAGTACTAGCACATTGTAGATGAAAACCTGCTTCAGGCCAACACAGGGACAAAAATTCCTCTTTCAGCAGGACAATGATCCAAAGCTACAATGGAGTGGCTTAAGAATAAGAAAGTGAATGGAGCAGCTGACTTGAATCCCATTAAGAATATGTGGAAAGACTTGAAAATTGTCCATAATTGCCCACAAGAAGGGTCTGAATGGTTTTGCAAGGCACGGTAACAGAGCTTATAACAGATGTATATTTATTTTGTAGTTCATAATATAGTATAGTGTCACCTGTTGTCTGTCACATTTAACAAACACATTAATGTCTCAGCCCGCTGCTAATCTTGGTGGTATAAAAGATTATTGTGACTTGGCCATAATTATAGACTTTCTTCATTTGCAGAGAGAGCAAAAAATGAGCCAAGGAATGTAACGACAAATGTGGCCAAATGGGTCAACACAAAAAGAGCAAAACACTGCATGACCAGCCATTTCAAAAGTAGCACACTTAGCAGTTCAAGCCTCCCCGCAAACAGTACAGCTCGCCGAGTATGTTGTTCATCTTGCTCAGGATTTTGATAGACAGCTGTAAAAACCTGAAAAAGTCAGTGCACAGTCTGCTGGGCTTAGATTAGAACACAGATTTGACTGATAGTGCAAAGCTTGGTGTATTTGTGAAAGGTCATGATTATAACTTTCACGTCATCAAAGAGTGGCAAGACTTGTCTGCATAGTGCATTTGATCTACTATAAAGGATGTTCTTTAAAACACAGAAGAAGCACTGGAATGCCCCTATATACAATTGTATTTTTTATCTCCTTAAACAACAAACACATTACCAGCAATGCTCTGCACAGAATGCTCTGGAACTATGCAAGAAATGAAAGATTGAAGAAGTAAAGAACCAGTAACATTGCACAGTATCATTCACCAGCAGGCATTGAGCCGTAGGTCTCTGAAATGTTCCAAAGCTTTGGAAGTTGTTTTGAAATGTGCAAAATTCATTTGTTGTAGAGGCGTGAAGCATATGAAAAAGTATTCTGCCCTTTCTCAGAAGAACCGCAGCACTATTATGTAAGAAGAGCTCTAGAAAACTATCACTCAATCTGATTTGAAGAAATCATCCAAACTAAAAAGGGAATTTGAAACATTAATGTTCAACAAACATCCTTTGGCACCAATTAGTTCAATAAACTCAATCTTTAAATGTCCAATGAGTTCATCCCTTGTAGGTGAGGGGGATGGATCTGCAACCAGCGCTGTCATTTCCTCAGCCAGGCAAGTTACCACCAAGCTGTTAAGTACTCTAACACCTTAACATCCATTGGCTCGTTTCATCATTATTAGAATTTGACCAAACTACTAAATCTGGGATTTTATGACATTTTGTTTCTTGTGAGAATTTGATAGATTTTCAAGTGGAAGCTTTTGAATTTGACCATATTACATCTCTTAAACCTAACCTACTGGAAAAGAGAAGAAGAAATATTGAACTGCTTGAGCACTTAGATTAATTCTGCCCGGGATGCCTTCCAGCATGTAGGGGCAGCAACATCCTGTTACTGTTACCGTAATATTAGTTTTTTACGGGACAGGGTTGTTAGCCTTGAATTCTGCTAAGGAATATGCAAAATGCATGGAAAAACATCTCTATCCAACAGAACATACAGACCAAACAACTTAATTACTTGAGACAAATGTTGTTGTAGCCCAGCATCTTTACATGACTGCTTGCTAAAGCTAAACCAATAACAGCCTCATAAAACAGACCAACAGTAACATTCGTTACTTTAACATTCACGAATTTGCTTATACGCGATTCGGTCTGGCCGATGGGGACTGGGAAGGAAGAAGAGCAGACTAGAGACTACAGACAACAGACTAGGACAGTGAGAGGGATCTAGCTAGCGAATGGGCGTGTCTCTCACCCGTTTTGAGTCGGCAGCATGGTTAATCACAGGCTGGCGACTTTACAGACTCTCTGACAGTTTTATTGCCCGTCTCATTACAGTCCAGCGTGATAATCATGGAGGCACAGAGAGACGGACACAGAGGAGGGATTCATGATGTTTATTTTAACGGATTACCATAAGTTTGTGATTACTGTTGTTTCTTTTAGTTAATTAATGCTATTTAACTTAAAGGCAATGGATTAGTACTTGAATTATCATATAAGGGACGGTTACTAACGTCTTTTATCCATACTATATACACTATATACTATAGTACATTATGCAACAATATAGAGGTGTATTTGGTTAGATGCAGATTTGGCTAATCGCAACAGTCCTCTCCACCAAACCTCAAAAGCCTACTGTATTGTGGGAAAGCTAAATTATTTTAAAAAGTTCTGGTCACATGTAAGATTTATTTTGCACAGCGGGATCAGTTTTGGCCTTCTATTCTTTAGTATTTTCTTTGTTAAACTGTACCAAAATCATCTTCACCTGATTCCCCATAGAATGATTCTGTGACTGCAGCCGATGGAAAATCTGACTTTCTTTAAAAGACTCAGAAATGTTTTCTGTGTAGCTGTGTTTTCTTTAATTTAAAATTCAACTGCTGATCTGCAGATGCTTATAATGGCTCTGTCAATCATTACTTCCACTTTCAAAGACCGGGTTAATTTGATTAACAATTACAATTATAATATGAAGCACACAGAAATTTCAGGTTTGACCCACAGACTGCACAGGATGTAAAGTCATGTATTATTTGTGTGAAGATCTCTCACAAAACGGGCATGTAGAAATCAGGGGTGATGGACATCAGTGTGTGCTGCATGTCCAATTTTCTGTAAAGTCTAATTCCTCATAAAATGCAAAACATCATAAATTGTATTAAATACTATTGTATTTGACTTGTATTCTTCAGTACGCTTTATTCTTAAAGTTAACTTCTAGAAAATAAATACTGATTAAGCATGAAAATAATGCTTACATGTACAATGTATAGGCTGTGCTCTTCAAACATACGAGATAAAGCTACTATTGTTGATTTTAAATAAAGGGTCTAATTTCCACAAATTGTATTCCAATAACTGCTGAAAATGCACAAAACATGTTTCTGTCAGAAGGTTATACTGCTAACAGAAGAGGTATATAAGATGTTAAGCCAGGAATTTGTTTACAGGGTCTTACTACCATGCAGGCTGACGATATTCTTCCCTGTCTGTTTTAGTATGAGTAAAGGTTGACGCAGCATTAGAAAACTTCTAAAAAGCTCTCATAAGGGTTTTGAGATGTACTGTTCAAACAAAATGTGACTTAAACAAAAAGTAATTTCAGTAACAAACTGGGTTTCCTACTTCCACCTTGCTTTAAATATATTTAATAACTGTCCCAAGAGCCTAGGAGCATCCTTGGTTTAGGTAGTTAGGTATTAACCTTCATCCTACTGGCATTGTGCATAAGAGCAGTTTCTGTAATTTACTCAGAATTAAAAATACAAAAATAAATTAGAATTGTGTTTTTGTCAAAAAAATTAAGTTAAAGTTAATTTGTGAAATTGTCCATTATGCTTATAGGTCTCTTGAATGTTATTTCCCACTGTGAAATAAATATTCCCTATGGTCACACACGCCCATGTGGGCATGTTAAGGACATGTAATATCTTACTTGCTTCTCTTTATAAGAAAAACAAAGTCCTGTGGTGTACTCACACATGCAGAGGAGGGACTGGAGAAGGGTCATATATGTAGCGTCCCTGAGCATGCCGGTCATCAATGGGAACAGGAGGGTGAAAAGCTGGAAAAAACTGAGGATGAGCTAAAAGAAAGAAAAGGAAAGTAGAATTTAGACAATTATCCTCCCATTTTCTAACTCCTTTATTCAATACATTGTCACAGAGCCTATCCCAGAAAGCAACGGCAACGAGTGGCTACACAAACACACACACACTCACCCCAGGGCCAGAAGCCAATTAACCTACCAGTATGTTTTGGACTGTGGGAGGAAACCAGAGCACCCAGAGTAAACCCACAAGGACACAGGAAGAACATACAAACTCCACGCAGATAAAACTTCAGGTCTGAAATCAAACTCAGGGCCCCAGTGTTAGGAGGCAGCAATGTTAATCACTTTGCCACTGTGCGCCCCCCCTGTCTCTTAGGAATTATTCACATCAAAAATACTCTTGCATATATAGAGCCCCGTCTCTATTTGTTTTCATGAAACACCAAAAAGATAAGAACATATTTTCAATATTTGTAAAATAGAATCAAACGGAATGAAAAAAGCAGTGGCCAACACCACAATGAAAAAAAAACCACAATGCTGCCGCTGAGGAGCTTCTTTGAGTACAGTATGAGAAAAATGATCACGACTAAAATAAAAATGTTCATCTTCTTCTTATTACTTTCCAGTTCCCACTCTCTACCTCTATCGATCAGAGGAGGTGAAACTGTACTGTCCCAAAAAATACTGAAAAAACAGTTTGTTCAGTTTAAACACTGAAAACAATATTAATTAAAGGACATCCCGTGACAAACCAGTAACATATTTACCCTTTTGTATTCAAACATTGTATACAAACATGAACATGTTCTTATAAATATGTCTGAATACTACAGTACAGGGCCTTGCTGCAGAATGAGTATTTAGCATGCCTGTCATCACTTGGTATTTCCTGGTGCCACTAACAGCATGGCCTGTTTTCAGCTTCTTTGTGCTTTTTTGGTGATTTGTTTTGTTTTTCAAGCCCTCTCTATAGAAATGAGTCAATGCAGGACTGTTCATTCATGATGATTATTCCAAGCATTACAATAGAAAGCTATTACTCTAGACCTCATTCTGAGAATTACCATACACATGCACATTGATATTAGAAGATTCTCCAATGTCTGAACTGGAATTTGTACACAGTATCAAAACTTAACTTGATCTGATTCAGATTCTCCACAGTATTCTCCACAGTATTTTGGCATCAGGCAATATCAACATGTTTTTACATGAGCAAAACTATTGCTCTTGCCATTATTTACTTTCTTGGCACAATGACTTCTTATTACAGTATGTATCCGAAGAAAGTTTGATAACTACAAATATTTTGGAAATGACAAAGTGTTCGGGCAAGCCCATACTAGATAATGAACAGGGGAGATGCTGTGGGGAACACAAAATATAACTGAGATAGTGCTTTTCAGCCCTGATTTACATCCAGGGGATACTTTGGCAAAATTGTGAAAAGTTGTGAATGACATCATGGATCTAAAAACCAAAGTTTAATGTAATGTCCTTTAAGCAGATGCATCACTCAAAGTCAAAGTCTACTGAATCTTTATATAATTTGTCATAATATGTTATCAATTTAGATCTTTTGCAAGTAACATTTTTCGGTAGAAGATATGCAGATTGAGATGGCCAGTGAAAAACATTTATTTTGTATTCAGTTAACCATTTCTTTGTCTGTTTGGATTGTTTCTTTGCTGAAAAGTTCTTTCTTGGCCCAGCCCAGGCTTCTTGGTGCATGTTGGGAGTTTCTGAATCCCACTGTCATAATAAGGGTGCCATGACTCATAAATGCAAAACAATCCCAAAACATGACAGACCTCCCCCATATTTCACAGTAAGTACGAATGTTTTCGTAACATGAGCTTCACCTTTTTAACATCAAACATAATGCTAATGTGCACGTTCAGAAATTCGATTTTTCTTTCATCTAAATATAAGACGGTTATAATTTTCTATCAAGTGTATTTTGGCAAAGTAGAGACGTCTCTTTTTGGAGTTTGGACTCAGAAGAGGCTACTCAGCCATGAGAGCCACATTCATGATGACAAGAGGCATCTTCTAGCACTTTGTATCCTGATGATGCCAGAGTGCATCGCAGATCTCCAACTGTTGCGTTTGGACTTATGGTAGATGCAGCTTTTTTGCGATTCTTTTATAGCCATCCCTCAAATCATGGAGGTCAATAAACATTGCTGCCACCTTTACCAGAATGATGCATGTTTCTTTGTGTCTTCTGTGTGTCACATCCTTCCGTACCCCAGGGAAACCTTTGGAGGCGGTGATATACAGTGTTTCTGGAGGCTTCTACTGCACTTCTAATATGCAGAATGTTGACTTGTTCTTGTTGAACTTTGTTGAGTGGTGTGAATAAATGTGACCCTTGTTTTGTCTGGAATTCAGTTTTGCTCCGAATCCAACTTTGCTCCATGCCACGCAGTAAAGATAACAGTTTAACATTCTTAGAACTGTTTTAATCAAGAGATATTTCCAATCCATAATTCATTTTGTTATATGATGATTAGTGTTTCTTTCTTATAGGTAATAATTTGTATGCAGCAAATAAAAGCTTTTGACTCAGCAATGGAAAGAGAGAAAAAAACTACAAAAATAAATATTTTATAACTATAGTAATCAACCTGATATGCAATGGGAACCCACACTCAACTCCTCTTTTAATGAATAAATTAGATGATCAGCTAGACCACACAGTACTAGTGTTTGAAATCAACATTTTAATCACCCTCCCCTTTCAAAAATGTTTTTCCAAAATAAATATGTGATCAATTTAAATGAGACAAAGGTATTTTGAAAATAAAGACTGTTAAAACTGAAATTAAATACAAAATTAGATTTGCATAGAACATTTATGTTTATTTTCTTCCTTCAGCAGAAAATGTCAAAGAACACTCAGTATATGATTGATTGCCACTTTAAGTGTATGTTTACTCTTTTTGTAGTTAATACACATTGTTGCATTCTTTAATTGAAGGAAACATATTTAATAACTTCACAATGTTTCTACTCACTGTGCTCAGAGATAATTATTCAGCTGTGTGTAGTTCTTAAGATTGGTTTCTTTATCCTAATTTTTCAAAATCTTCCTCATTGTTTCTTTACCACAGAATGCACAACAAGCTCTGAATGCAACTGTGTCTTCTCTTCCAAAGATAGTACTCGAGTGGGTATAAGGAATAAGGAAATCCCTGGCATGACAATTTCCTTAGGTTGAGAAAAAAGCTATAGAAATCAAGATGTCGCATCTCAGTACAACAAATTCCTAGGGCTGATATATAAACCAGCCTGTAAGCTATGGTAGTCAACACGAAAATTAAAGAAAGGTGATTTAACTGACTTGTGGTGAGTGATACTGGGAACAGTACAGGTATAGCCATCCCTTGTTGTGTGATTGTTATAATACCTACATTTATACCTTTCTTCTCAAGTTATTTCTTAAATCACTAAATGTTATTCAATGTGCAGCCAAGGTAATTATTAAACATTTGACAGGCAATTAAGTTGATATTAAATACTATAAAATAATCTCAGAGTCACATTTTGTCTTAAATATCAGGAGCTAATATTCATTGGCAAAAATGTGTCCAATTATATTTATGAATACTTACATCCAGGTTCTTATGCTCAACACAAATCTTAGTTAAACTTAAACGTTCATTTCATCTTCAACTCATGTTTATTTATGAAAATGTGCTTAATAAAAAAGTAGAGTATTAATTTTAAAAACAAATTATCATTCACCGTTTTGTGTTTGAAAATAATCCTAAACAAATGTGTTATGAAACTCCTCCATGGCAAGTGAATTTTAAATATTTCCAGGTTCAGTTCCTGCACAGACTCAGCTGTGGTGTGAAAACACGGCGGAGAAGAACAAGTCTTTCTTGAGTGTTGCACACTGTAAGCCCACAGAGATGATGGCAGTTCATCACTAGAGAAACGACATGTTTTCAAAGCCTGCATATCTAGGTTCTCCTGTAATTACCCATCCTTCCAGTTTATTATTTACACGTGAACAATACATCTGCTGGACATCATAACTCAGGGATCAGTGTAATAAGTTACCAGTACAACGCCGTCTCCTGTTGTAACCTCTGACAAAATGCAGCATGATGACTTTTCCAAAGTCAGGCTAAATCTGCTGAAGCAGAACAAAGTGCCACTAAACCTGGGTACCTACTATTTATCATACAGTTTCCTGACTGATGGCTCCACAAACCAGCTGCTAAGTGCTGTGTACTCTACTGTCAGCAAACTAACATGCTAAATGGGAGACAGAGAGAGTAATGTGCACCAGTGGCAGAATGAATTGGACTGAAGGAATTAACATTAGTGCAAAAATGAACTGGATGGTTGCAGTAGCTTCTGTATTGTATATAAAACTCCACACAGGTTGTAGTTTTTCCTTCCATTTTGCATTTTGGAAGAGATATGGTAAAAATGATCTCACACATCACAAGCTTCTCTCTCATCTATGTACTGTAACTCCTGAAAAAAGCACTCTAGCAAAGCAGAGTAGTGTATTATGCAAATCCACCCTGTGAATTTCTGTGAAATTTTGATGAACGCAGACAGTTTATTTTTGTGCTCTGATATATCGACAAAAAAAACAAACATCCATGTGAATATCAAAACATTTTCAGCCAACAGCTAGTTTGTGGTGGACAGCAGTATCGAAGTGTGTTGTGTGGAGGAGCATCATGAAGGAGAAGCACAGGAATAGCTTTTCATTCCTTTCTCATCATTTCAAGGAATTTAAGAAAATGTTGACCTTTCTGGCAGTTCACTTCAACCTATAAGCGATTCCCCCAAAATACATTACAATGGAGAATCCAGCTGCCTAAAATGCAAAATTAGTCATTGTACAGTGGAAATCAGAATGTTAAAATTTTTCTCTTCTGGCTTTGAACAACTCACTAGCTCACATGCAACGCTCATTGGAAAGGCCCAAGACAGACGTAATGCACTGATGTTTACTGTCAGCAAAGTTAAAAAAGAAATTACATAAAACCATATTGCATCTG